CCGAGCATCATTTCTTAGTGGAATATATCCGCCCATCGACCGTTCATGGAGAGTTTCTCGGCGGTGTGTCTGTGAAGTGGGGGGGTCTGTTCAAGATGAAGCCAAAAAAGAAGGCTCGTTTGTCGTTCTATCAGGGGACTTGTGATTTGCTACATTTAACCAGGAAAGCAGGAAGTGCCTTTTAGCCTGAGCAAAAAGATCAGTTGGTTGGAGAGAAGGGTCTCAGTTGAAGGCGAACCCACTGACCGAGAATTCTATCTAAGGAGTGAAGAAGGTGGTGGAGAGACTCCCACCGAAAGCTTGCTTGCAAAGCGTGCTGAGGTGAGTAGCCTCCCGCTTTCAAACCGGCAGCTTCCGTTCCCCTACGGGCCCAGTCTCTCTGCAGCTCCAGTTCCTTGAGTTTTTTAGGTGAATCTTGGTGAACTTCCACTAAACTTCGAGCAATCTTCCGCGAAAAGGCAAAATTTGACGCGAAGGGCCTCAATTTCTTATTCACCGCTTCGCTGACATAAAACAGCGCTTCAACAGCCGCGCCAACATATACTTGTCGAAGTTTTACGCTTTCAGAGCCTCTTCATAGGCCCACCAGGCCCTTATCTTATTGTTAGAATGGGAAGCACTAGAACCACAATGTTCCCCCTCACACTGCCCTCCCCACTGCAGCATTTATGACGTGGGTCACTTGCCGTAAGCTGCCGCCTCTGCCATTAGTAGATGATAGCCCAGAGCGATTAAATATTAATTATCGCAGAAAAAATTACGAAGGTAAATGCCGGTACGATCCTTCAACGGATCCACAAAATCTCAGGGTGTTTCCTTCCGTGCCAAAACTGACGCGTCTACTGATTCACTTAGAGGGAGCAAACTGTACTCCAAGTACAACGACCTAGCGTTTGCTGGAGGCTAATTGATCTCATCCCCTTGTGAGATGGCTAGGAAATAGGAAAACTATATTTTTCTGAGGCATCATAAAGTGTAGTGGCTTGAAATCATTTGAAATCAGTATCTAGAACAATACACTCAGATCACTTAACATTTCACAACACCACATAGAGTCTTGATCGCTGCCGGACGCTGGAGCGTCAAGGGAAGGGTGGCTCGGTTTGGCGCGGCGCCAACCCATTCTCCACCACATTTTGAAGAGACCAAGCGACCATAGGTGCTGGGAAACGGGATGGCGCTGCCAGACCTGGTCCTCCCGACATGTCCCAGCATCCGCAGCTATCAAGGCTATACACGATGTGAATCCGACTCACCCCAATTGAAATTGCATAGATAACTAGAAATATGAAAGCCGATATGAAATTCGTCACCACGTATTTTTTCAAGTTGCACACTATGATATAGGAGAAAATCCACTGAAAATCAGATTGTCAGAAATAGAAAGTATGAAAACAGGGGCTTTATACAGGTACAGCACCGGTCACAATCAGTCCCCTTCATAGTATTGAGCACTTTAGTGGCGAGCCAACGAAGAGAACACGAAGGAAGGCCCTGCAAAGCCCACAAGACAAGTGTGGACTACGTACTCATTAACCGACAATGTTAAATTACAGCATGTTTACTATCATTTCAATGAAGTAGCTAGTTCAGCTATAACCCTTTTGTGACGGCAAAAATGCCCAGTTATTCGCCAAGTGTCTGCCTTAATACCATCTAGGTTTCTCTGCACCAAGTGACCACCCCTGTCCTTTTTTCAATGTCCAAAAAATAGAATAGACCAGAATTTCTCTCAACATTACTTGATACGGCTGGACCTGATCGTGACCGACCTATTCCTGTATAAGACCCTATTTTAAGAAACGTAAGCGTACCATACAAGCGATAGCCACACCAATCTGTGGAAGATACTGCTCGTTCTCATAAGTTCTCGACCGCACTGTAGCCAAAAGTCTCTCGCCAGCAATAAGGAGCATATGAAGTCCGCCTAGAAGACAACAAAGTGCACGAGGTCAAATTGGCTGCAGGGGGGGGGGCAGGTCATGCCGTAGCAGTATCTTGTTGATTATGTGTGCAAACTCAGGTGTACTGTTCTGCCTTCCGCATGGGTGCTCTATGTTCCTTTTCCGTGTCGTTGAGGAAGCGGGAGCCCAACAGTAGGCCTGACTCCGCCCATACTACAAGCGGTCACCTCGCCACTTTAATACAACCTGAGCTGCATGAAAAGCCTGCAGGAAGAACCTTCTACTAGGAAGAGTCCTTTGGTGGTCATGTAAAGACAGCAGTATTTCATACAAGACGTAAACTGATAGATCCGGTGGGGCGCCGGCAATGGGTGAGGGTCCGCGCACCATTTGCCCCTCCAGCTTACCTAAGATCGCTTCTATTCGCAAGCTACGGTATCTAGCTAGGTCTCATAAAAATTTCATAATAACTAATAAGAAATGACTGGACGAACCTGCATACATGCTCACGTCACGCATACTGGCTGCTGTTGCCAAAGCTTGATTACCGGGTTCAAGGTTCATTATCAAGAGCGTCAGGCAGTAATACATTCGCCATGCGGATGTGACACAAAACGAGAATACAAAGCTGTCCAATATCCATATGAGATGGATATGTATTGATCGAATACGCGAAAAGGCAACCATGAACATCGTGGAGACGATGAAACCGATGATGTGCAGAAACAGTTCAAAATACAGGAAGGAATGGTAGAGGACACGAATAGAAAACTGCGTAGAGTCCATTAGAGCTCCTGAAATTGTGTTATGCATATTAGTGAGTAGTATGACCGAGAGCAGTATTTCCGTAGGCTGCGATACGATAGGTGTAGGCCAAGAGATCGGAATTACAGCGACGCGCAGTAACCAGCTCGGCGCACGCAGCTTCGTTGAGTTATCTTACTGTAACAATTCGTCAAGCCACTTAAGCTCTGGTTCGAATGTCGCGCACACGCTACTTGCAGTCCGAGCACGCCTTGCGTTGCGGATCACCAGCAAGGGGGGTCGTATTGGTCGAGGGAGATAGCGTAATTGAATAGGAGCAAAGTTTTATCGAATAGTGACTTCTCTCAGTTTTCTTTTATTTCAAGTGTGTTGTATCCTCCGCCCCCGACGGGCGACCATGATATTTTAATATTCTGGGGGAAAA